CCACCTTATGAAGAGTTGCCTAAAAATGTGTCAGAATGCGTGAAAGTGTTATCGGAAAGGATGGATAATATTCACCATCAAGTGCTTTCAAACTTGAAAACGTCTGCTGATTCGATGAAGCTATGTTATGATAGAGATCTGCTGAAGTCAGCTTTGTACCAGGAGACAAGGTGTGGTTGTATAATCCCAGGAAGACCAAAGGGAAGTCTCCTAAGTGTCATCTCCATGGGAAGGCCTATATGACATAGTGGATCGTCTCTCAGACGCGACTTTCTGGATAAAATGTGAGCGGCGAGGTATGCCAAAGGTGGCGCATGCCAACATGCTTTGGCATTATCACGGTCCAGGACATTTCATTTGGGACGAAGTGTACAATGGAACAAAAGACGTGTCTCCTGGATAAGCCATTATCGAAGAAGAAATTCTACCCGGTTTTGAGAAGGGAAACAGTGAGGCCCTTGATGAAATTACTACCACTGATGGGACTATTACCGATAATAGGACATTTCTTGATGGAGCAGATGAACCCCACGTGAAGCAGTAGCCAATGAGATGGAGACCAGTACAGAAGAAGATATGTCCCGTAAAATTAAGAGACTTTGTTGAATTTTAATTTTGTATTTGTAAATTCTGTACATTTAATTAAGTTATTGTTAATTATCTATCGATTTAATTTAAGTGGCTTTTGTTCGGGACGAACAATACTAAGGAAGGGGCAGTGTTACGACAGCGGAAGTCACGTTAAACTGGTAACACTTGATGAGTTTCTAGAAGGATTGGGGAACATCACGAATAATTTAGTATTTGCTAGACGCCCTCTATACCTGTATATAAGCGCGCCAGATAAAGCGAGACAATTTACTCGGAATTGGAATCGCAGATAGAGAGATTGAAGATATAGACACGGATAGTTGAGTCAAGCGGGCGGTAGGAGCCGTAAGTAAAGCGCGTGAATCGTTGTGAATTATAGCATGTGTTTAAGTTAAAGTGACTGTGGAAATTAAGTGTATTACAAAGTTTGTAACAAGAAAGAATAAACTAGTTTTATTTAAGAAAGGACTTGTATCGCTGAAGCTTCTCGGAAAGAATTTCTACGGAAAATTAACAAACAAACAGAGACGTAACACTGTTTTATTACTTGTAATTTCCTACTTTGAAATTTACTTCTTGTTTTTGCTCTTACTGTTTAAGTTCACCCACACTTTACATCTTCCACGGTGTAAATAATATAAACTCTCTCGAGGTGAATTTCCAGTGGGTACAGAGTTAGTCTTTCCGATAATAAAAATATCAAAGTAATGTTTGCATTTAACATTAAAATATATAATTACCTGGAACGTTAAACTTTATTGGCGTATTCTGAATGCTAGTAGATTGCCTATACATTTATATCTTTATGTATTAATGATGAGCATAGATAGTAGCATAAACGGAGTCGCAGGCATGGGCGTCCACAGAAACTTCTCCGAGGGAGGGGGGACAAGGACTATAGCAACATAATACATATATACTTTATGAATAAAGAAAGAAGTGTAAATAAGCAAAATGTAATCTAAGCTAAATAGTGTATTCTCTGCACGTTTAAACGGAAGGAGAAATTATTATGTAGAAATGGTGAAATGAGAAGTGCTGAAATAGCATTAAACCTATTCCAATTTATTTCTTGTGATTACCGCGCCTTTTTTATTTTACTATTCGCGGACGCTCACGAATATAACGAGATTACGTGATCTTACAGTTCTTTGAATCCTGTGCTTATCTGACCTGTCTTTATTCGTGATCAACGTGAGTGAAGAGGGTATAAAGTTTTATACGCTTTATTCGCATTAGTGTTTCCTTATGTTTTAATTATTTCTACATATATATATATATATATCAAATTTAGAAAAGTAAATAATTAATTGTAATGACTAAAGAAAATTAGCAAACATTCGGTTTTTAACATAGCACTACAGATTCAAAACGTAACCGGTAAATTATAATGTATAAAGTAAAAAAAAAACGCTATTATGCTTTTTTTAGGGTATCTTGATTCCCATCTGTCTGTTGCCATCATAGCAAGTTACGAAGCGTATAAACAAGATGAACAACTCATCCATAGACCTCAACGATTACTATGGATACAATATGGACCACGTAGAAATGTTCTTAGATCCCGATGATTCAGATTTTGCTCCAGGGTACTTGGATAACGTGAGCGACAATTCTGGTATGTAAACATCAAAATACATTCAGCCAACTAAAATGTAACATAAATGATACAGATAATAAGATTTTTTTTTTCTTTGCATAGATAAGTTGATATGGATTAAAACACGGATGGGTGATAATTATGACAATTTTATTTTACATGGACACAAGAAAGTTCCTTAGAAAATAACAACAACAACATGACATTTATGACTATTTTGTTAATAAAAACAATCAAACCCAAAAAACTCATACATTCAGTCTACTATACATTATGTTTGGGAGGACAAGTATATTAATGCTGTTTTCGTACGAATTTTTGCAAAGTTAACATAGAAAAGTTAGGCAGCATTTCATAGCGTCTTTCTTTATCTAAAAAATGTTTTATATATAATTTATCAGGTTAAATAAAACTGCTTGTTTTTGTTTTGTGTTCTTATCGATCTACAATCCTAAAGGGAATAGAGTCAATATTATTGTGAAATAGCATGTTGCTCTTACATTTATTACATAAATGTTTTTAACTATTGTAAAGAAATAACATCTCTAAGTGTCCTTTATTCCTGAATACTAGAAATAGATTTTCGTTAGTTAATTTATAGAAAGTAAAATAAAATTATGTATAATGTAATATTTTTATCATGTAGGATTAATTAACTATTGCAAATAATGTTGCTAAGTGTAATATTACGTCAAATTAGGTAAATTATATAAACGTGCACGTTTGTATTAAAGGTAAAGTAAAATCATGCAAATATTTATGCATAGTTAATAAATAGTTGATACAATATTCTTATGAAATTAGGTACTAAATTTTCTATTTCGTCACGCAAAAACAATTTCTTTCGAGTTAGAGAAATTAATGATCCCTTAAAATCATGGCATTATCTGACTTAATAAAAAAACAATTGTATAACATTACCTAGTTTACGTTTTATGTAGAACTAAAATGTTTAAGTAAAAACAGTTAAAAACAACAACAGACCCAAAAAAGGGAATTTTATATGCCTAACACGGTATCGAAATATAATTTTAAGCAACGTAAGCCTGCAAACTTATCGCTAAGCCACTGGAAGGTAAAGAAAGAATGATTCGCACGGTATACAAGGATCCCTCGATTAATGCGCATTTGATTAATGCGTTTTCGTTTAGTGCGCTTAAATGTTTTTATAACCAATATTCGATTAGTGCGTGAATAATACTCGATTAGTGCGGTAACACACACATTTCATTTTAACCATAGTAATTGAAAAGTAAGTTTTAGGCACCGAAATTATTTTTTTTTAAATTAAAAATAGAAAATGGGTGACTATTTTACTTGTCAAGTTATTACAACGTCACCCCGGGGTATTTTAGCGATTTTTTCACTCCTTGCCCCGGGGTAAATCTTTACTATTTTAC